TCACGACCGAAAACTGAATCCGAGAAAAATAGCTATTGAAAAATAGTGTTTCGGGCGGTTGCGGTTGAAACGCTATTCCAAGCAATCAGCAATAGCGTTCTGGCGACTGGCGTCAACAGAAATCGCATTTGAAAACTGCGTTTGTGTTTCAAATCGGATTAGGGTTTCTAGTTTTTAGATCCAAATAGTGTTTCTTAGCCAGAAAGACACACAAACAACTCACTAGATTTACCTCGGATTGGAACTCTGAAACCCGATCTGGATTCCTTGCAGCTTCACCTTTCCAACGACACCGGAAACGTTCTCTGATTCCTACTATATCAACGGAAAATAATATCCAAAGTTAGCTCCGTGAAACAGGAAACAAGAGCAAATCTGAGAGTTTCTGGTTTCTACGAAAAGTTGCGGTTTAGGACAAACTTTAACTAAGGATTGTGGAGGCGTCATACCTTGGATTGGATATCAGAAAGATGCTCCACAAAGTACGAACTGAGATCTATCCAACGGTATGAAAATCGCTGTATGGGTCGTTACAGTTCGCTCTGAAAACGCCCCCGCAAAGTCACTTCTCGCAACACCTTCCTTTTTCTCCTGTTTGCTTTGATTTTCCGGTCACCGGAGCACACAACTGAAACCTTTGGTGGTTGTGGCGGCTGGTTCACGTCGAAAAAAGGGCAGAGCTTCGCTAGAATGGGAATCTCAGCCTCCCTCTCTCTTTGGCATCTCCTTTAAATAGATGAAGAGAGCCTAGGGTTAGGGTTTTTTGGGAGGAATGTTGGCCACACAAAATGGGCCCTCGAATTGTGAGTTTATTGAGATTGGGCCAAAACCAAACCTCAACCCATTCATTTAACAAAACAAATAAACCAAACTTCCAATTTTTGGTTTACGGACGTTACAATTATGCTATGATATAGTCAACTGAACTATTTTCGGAAAAATAGTTAACTATGTTTTAGATAGTAACAAAAATAGTGTGATATAGTTAACTAAGTTATGAGATCAATAGAATATGTAGTTTCGAAATTAGTCAACTATGTTATTAAATAGTTAACTATGACAACATTTAGTATTTTTGTGAATTTGTTTTCATACTTACCTTAATTACATAAATTTTTTACTACTTTCTTTTAACAAATTCGTAGTGACATTTACTTTTTCTTAATTAATTTAAAGTTTTCAAACATGTCATCATATGATCAATATTGAACACATATCACGATTTGGTGAATTATAATTTTGCTTACGTGTCAAATTCTAGTTGATAATA